GAAAATCATAAACACAAAACATAAATGTTTCTGAACTGCAACAGAGGACAAAACCATGAAAGCTTTAACAACACTCTTCAGGAGATCAAATCAATAACTCTGTTACCAAAGGCCCTGAATGTCTCATTCATCCCTGTGAATAATAATGCAATGGTCCAAGAATTGACAACATCCTTTCCTCCTGAATTTTAAAGGAACACTAGAGGAAAAAATAAAAATATTTCTAGAAAGAGGAATTTTTTTTAATTCTCAATGTTTCAGAACTTTAATTTCCATAGCCAAATGTTACTTTTGTTAAATTATATCATGTGATACTTAAAGGCTTGAGGAATGTATCCTTTCTATATATATATTTGCTAGGTCTAAAATCCTCAAACCTAACTAATAGCTCTAAGTACAAATGCCACTACCTTAATGAGATTTATTCCAAATTACTATTTAAGAGGACTTTATTAGAGATTCATATGTCACTTCAATACTCACAAATGAACAAAAATTGTATTCAATATTGCATGTTAATTGCTTCCAATTATTTCTCCCATAGTGTTAAATATTCTTAGATATATGAAGTGAAAGACTACTTGATGTAAATTAATGCCTTATGAATTAATGTTATTTTTAAATTCAATTTATTGTTAAATAATTGAGACAATTAAAAATTAAGTCTGTAGCATCAATATGCCTAAGTATGATCATTTTAATTATGAACCTACAAAATAAAATAAAAAGTTATGAAAGATAACTTGAGATTTGAACCAAGAATAAAATACTTTATTATGTATAATAGAATAACCTAAATTACTGTGCTTAGTTTTAAATGTAAGCATCTCTGCTTAATATAATGTTTATGTCCAATTAAACCTGATTTATAGCAAGGATAAGAGTGCCTCCCTCTTTTGTGCTTCTAAACTTTGGATCTAGATAAACCTTAACAATATTACAGAGAAAGGAATCTCATTTTCACACATTCAGTAGTACAACATTTAGGGTAAAATATAATAAATTATTTAAATGTGATTAATATACATTGCTCATTTGATATTGATAGTATGGGTAAATATAACTTATTATATTTTAAACCAGCTTATTGTGTTTTCATTACATAGCAGACTAAAATTATCAAATCTATTCAAATAAATTATTAAAATTCCTAAAACCTAATTGTAATTTTTCTTATTTATCATCTCTAACAAGAAATTTATAGATAAATCTAGATTTTCCCCATAATTCTTAGTAGCCTGGATTTCAGAGTGGATGTGCAGATACTGTTATACTAGTGCCCATATCAGACTCCAGAAAATAGGAATACAGAACACAGGGCCTAATTAATGATCAGAACTTAGGGTTCCTCTGCAGTTTTTGGCAGGCAGGAAAGCATCGAGGTTAAGGACATGGATGCCTGGAATGTGAAAATTAAAGAGGAAGAAAGGAAGAAGTGAGGAACAGGAGGAAGAAAGGAAATGCAGAAGGAAAGCACACAAAGACCAGGTTGAGAAAAATCTAGGCTTCAGTTCTCAATCTAGATTAGTTACTAAGTGGCCCCAGGGAATAACAGTCTGTTCTCAGTAACTTAGCATCCTGATTCATAAAATGAGAGAGAAAAGCATTTTCTAAGGCTTTCTAGATCTAAAACACTACAACCTTCCAATTTCAAGGAATGAGAGAAAAATGAGCATACTGTAGCACAATTGTCCATCTTTACTCAATAGAGTCTGGTTATCAGGGCCTTATGATCATTTACATCAATAAATTTCAGGGTACTTCATTATACACATGATTTTAAATACAATTCTTTGATCTTACAACCTTGGTGAAATAGACACATCAATAATTAGTACAGACTACACAGTACAGAGGAGAGAGGGATTAACTTTGTGAAGACCTACATATATGGCATTTGTGTTAGGCTTGGAAGGATGAATAAAATTCCATCACAGAAAAAAGAAAAAGAAAGAAACACTAAGCATCTACTGTAGATAAAATATTTTTAAAAGCAGAAGACAGGAAACATACCACATGGATTGTTCAAAAGTAATAAGAATAGGAGATAAAATTTGAAAAAGTTAGAATAGAATAGGACAAGGTCAAATTGTGAAGCCCTTTGGATGTTATGTTGAATAACTACATTTAATGGCTATCCCAGAAAGAAAGAAAAATTAGAATAATTTCCTCAAGTGAACTATATTAAAATTATTATCAGGATTTATACAGTAAGCAACCTTAGGGCCTCAAATATCCCACATATTAGTGAAGCCATATTAAATGTCCAGCTCTGTTAAATATCCCAAAAAGTGCAGTTACATGAGGGCTCCAGATAAGACCAGCAGAAGAACCACCCAGCTGAGCCTAGTCTGTATTTCCAGATAGTAAATTAATAATTTGTGTAAAACAAGAGGTACTGTTATAGAAAAAAATTAAATTGTGGCATTTGCTTTGGTACTAAACAGATTGTAAAGGCTGGAAGAGTAGCAAGGAGTTGAGGGTGGAAGAGAAGTAAAGCAATTGCTATTGGAGATAATAAAAGGTAACACTGCCTATGATAACTGGGAAAATAGAAAAAAATACTTCATAATGCTGTGGATCAAATTAAGACTGTTGCTCAGCTCTTGAAACTGGCAACTATGGACGATTCTTATAAATGAGAATGAGCAGGATGACTCAGAGGGCAGAGTGATGAAGCCAAAACCACAGTGGATCATTTCCTGCCTCTACAGTAATGGATTCTTACAGCATCTATCTGGACTTCAGAATCACAATGAACCAGTGACTGCTGTATACCTGCCTTTAGAAATTGGAGGCTCTTTTACAGTCATCCTGTGCCTGTCCTGTATATGTTGTGTGTGTGAGGAACAATAAGTTTCATTTTAGTTCTTAGTTCTTCAGGTCAAGAGAAATGTTAGGTTCATACACATCTTGAATTGATTTCAATGATGCTCTTCTTGACTTCAACACAATGCCGTATGAGATAAATCTCTGGGAGGGTGTGGGTATTTGTACATGACAGAAAACATTAATCATGAGAAACTAGGCAGTGAACTGTGGTACACTATCACATTGGCAACTCACTATAAACATACTTCCAGGTATTCAACCCTTGTGTAGTCCCATCATATACTCACTTTATACCTGGGCATGTAACAAACTCTCTCTTAAGCCAGCTACTGTACTATAAAAAGGCTTTAACTAGATTTTTAAATGATGAGAGGCCATCTAGAGAAAGCCCTTATAAGAGATCATCTTGAACATTGCAACTCCAGTCAAGCTCACAGCTGGAAACAGCTGCATCAGTGACCTCTGCTTTATCTACATTAAGCAGAACTACCCTGGCTAGCTCTGAGAAATCATAAGTCACTCTGATTTTACACTAAGCAGTGTTGGCTGTTTTGTCTCAAAAGCAACAGATAACTGAAATATATACTCTATTGATATCCACCAACTACCAAAGTGATTAACAGATAGTAGATATTCATAAATTTTAATAACTTAAATTAATTGTTCTAACAGAAAAGACTAAAAGAAAAGGAAATTTATATATATATATATATATACACACACACACACACACATACACACACATATGGTGTCACATTACTACTTGAAGTATGGTTTATTCATATAAATTCCAATTAATCTGCCATTTAGGTATGTGTAATTCAGAGATTAGCTTGGGAGATAACTTATTGATTGATAGCAATAGGGTCAAGGATAAAAAATATTATCAGAGGATAGAAATGGGTGATATGAAGGAAAACATCAAGAACACACACTATACACTCATATTTCTGCACTCAAACAAATTATAATATAGGTAACAAGCCATAAAAACAGATGAGTCTAGCAGCAGCTCTAGATGAGCTAATAATGATTATCATTAGTTAAAAATCAATTTTGCTAAACAATGGAAGGAATTTTAAGGAATGTACTGGTACATAAGAATGTAACTTCATAGAACAAACATATTAAGTAAAAAACCATCGAGCCATCAGCGATTGTCATTACCTGTATTTCTCTAGTCAACACCATGAAAAAATACACATATTTAATAATAGCAATCACATAAATTATTAGTTATAAAATAACTCTCTAAATATTTTTAAAACTTTATTTTTACCAATTAACACCCAGCTTCTCCTATTTTAAAATATGATAAAACTACATGGATAGTATGTCTAATATGTTTATAGCAAGTTCTTATTGTCTTCTTAACCTCATTGAATAATTACTCATATGTATGAATTTTTCTTTAGAATATTTTCCAATGTAAAATATTTTATAGAATCCCCCAAAGGATAATTTATGACTTATTTTTCTCCCATTCTAAATCTTTGTTATGAGTAAATAACATTTTTGAATTCAATTTATATTGATAAACTTCAATGAAATATATTTTAATTTTTAAATAGTAGAGAAAACTGGCTTATGCTTCATAAGAATATACTGCAGACATTTTGTGCAAATATTAAAATTTTCAAATTTCCAACACACTCATCATTGGAAGTGCTACTGAACTTTTCAAAACCCAAGTGTTTTATAAGTATATAAAATCTTTAAATATTCACACACATTACTATTACTCATAACCCTTTAGTACATAAAAGCATGTTTTTCTTACTTATTCTCATCCTTTTAATAATTATAAATATAGAACCAACAAAAAAGTCAATAAATTCAATACAGTGCAATAGAAAACAAACTAGTAAATAATTTACTATTAAGAGGGGAATATATCTACTTTGTTACTACTTGCCAAACAATAAATGTATTTCCATATTTGTGTACTGGTTATGAGTGCTAAATACAAAAAAAAATCATATAGATTATCTCTGTCAAGGATATGTAAAAATTTTAAATGTATATATTTATTAGATTAACAAACCTTCATAAAAAATTCACATAAAGAAAAATCATTTCATCTGGAAAACTACAGGTATTATATTATCATAACAATGTGAAATGGTATAGTTCTCAACTTATGTATAGTAAATTTGAATGTTTCTTACCATGGCAAGAACCCTCGATCTCTTCATATCCTGTACTGCAGATGCACCTTCCAAGAGGAACCAGCCAATCTCCATCAGCTCCACAATATAGTTTAGGAGTGTCACGCTCTTCTGCACTCTTCACACAAGCACCCCTTACTTCAACCAAAGAGGAAGAGTCAACCCTTGGGATGGTGTCAGGAAACATGGCCAAGTTACGTACAGTGAAGGGGCACTTTTTGTAGAAAACACGGACTGATACCAGGGCAATGCATGCCCCAATGTCTTGAAAAGCCAGATAAAATCCTTTCCTTTCTATAGGCCCCACCTCACGAATTTCAGTGTTGAGTTTGAGGATGCGATCACCCAAATCCATCTGGGTAAAACTTTCATCAGCAGCAATTGTATCGATCTTTGTATACTGGCTTGGCTTGAATTTAATTCCATGGGACTCATCTGATTCCACATAATACAGATTAAATGTTTCTTTGCAAGTCCCCAAGACCCATGGGATGCTGTTACAATCCCTCAGTGTGAACTTCATTTCCACATAAATTTTCTGAGCTGCATCTCGGGAGATCCAGTTTGTACGAAGCCAATTGTTTTGATTTGGTTCCATTACATTGCATACCTGGTATGTGTGAATGGGCCTGTTATGTTCATCCATTTCAGTAATGGCATCCCACTGCAAAAAATAATAATAATAATAAATGTTTATAAAACTACAGTGGTTAAACAGAAATTATTGCCTTCCAAGTTTTCTATTTTTGCAAAAGAAAATGAATAAAAAGGATACAACTAAAGCTAGTCCAAGTAACTATACAGCAAGATTTTACCCATGACCTTTGGTTACGAGTATGGGTTTTGGATATACCACCTGTATTGGCGAATCTTAACTTCCTATATAATAGTTGCATGACCAAGGGCTACTAATTTAAACTCTGGTTTTCTTAAATGTAAAATGTACCTAGTGTCACAAGGTTGTTGTAAGGCATGAATTAATTAATATATGTAAAGCACTTCAAATAGTTTCTGGTACACTATAACAATGTAAAATGGCATATCTGATCAAATAACTAAACCAATGACAAATGCACTCTGGTTTCCCATTCATCCTCATATCCAATTTGCCACCAATTGTCCTCATATCCAATTTTCCACAAATTGAGTATAGTTACCATTACTGAATTAAATATTTACATGTTTATTTTAATAGGAGATAGATATAGAGAAGCCTTAGATTTATTCAAAAAATATTGAACAGGCAATGTTCTGGACCCTGGGAATACAGCAATTAACAAGCTAAACAAAATGCCTTGCCTTTATGGATCTTACTTACAGTGAGGAGAGACAATAAAAATAAAAATTGTAGCCCTGGCTGGTGTTGCTCAGTGGTTAAGAGCATCAGCACCTCCCTCTCCCCGGCCCCAGCACCCATGGGTTATGGGTTCCATTCCTGGTAAAGGGCACATACCTGGGTTGTAGGTTTGATTCACAGCCTGGTTGGGGCGTGAATCTCTCTCCCCATCCCTCCCTCCTTTCCCTCCTTTCTTTCCACTTCCCATCTCTCCCTTCTTTCCACTCTCTCTGAAAAGTAATAGAAAAATATATCCTCCAATGAGGATTAACAAAAATAAAATTCTATGGGACTCATCTGATTCCACATAATACAGAATTTTTATAAAATATAAAAATTAAAATTGTAAGTGAAGAATTTGAATAATATAGTAGAAAGTACAATGGGAAAAATTAAGGCAGGAAGGTGGAGAAGAGAGTTGTGGTTTTAAATGGTGTCCACAGGTCTTACTGAGGAAGTGACATTTGACCAATGCCTCAGAGTTGAGATAGTGAACCTTGAGAAAATAGTACAAATATCCTGAGGCAGGAATGTACAGGTATATTTTAGGAATACCATGAGTGGGCGCTAGAAGCACAGTAGGTAATAAGAATAGAGAATCGGAAAATAGCAAAAAAATAACCCTTTACAAGCTTTCTAAGCACTCTGGCTTTTATTCTGAGCTGGATCACTAAATATACTGCTTCTGCATTTTACATAAAAGCATTCTGCCACCTATTTAAATAGAAGAACCTTATTTATCTTTTTAAAAATTTTAATGAAAATCTTTGAGTACTTTGTAATTGTTATTGTCAGTATTTATACATAGAATATTGGATAAGTCTATAATATAAATTTATATTGTAACTGCATTTTATTTGTATATAGTTGTAATTTTCAATAGAAAAGCCATTCTGAGAACTTTATAGCCAGTTTGGGGAGATAGACTATTCACCACAGTTTCTCATTTCTATTAAAGTTTAGTGAAAATTATAAACTATCTTTATAGTGAATAAATGCTCAATTTCTTGATTTTATACTGTAGTGATTTATAATAAAATTATTTAATGCAATCTGTTTGCAGTTTCTCATTTTAATTGGCTGTACAGTCATTTAAGCAAGGCTGGTTGAGGGTCAATTATTATAGTTCCTAATAGAATGGCTACTTTCTTCAGTCTACAAGTCTATTTTGAGACTAAGTACTTTTAATTACCTATCATCAATTTCCACAAATAAAGTATTTACATTATCCACCAAGGAAACTTAAAAATAATCTGTATCTAAAGTTTTCATTTGTAAGTTGCTTGCTTGAAATTCAGAGTATTTTCTAGAAGTAACAGTAAGTTTCTGTTAAAAGACTTTTGTACACACACCTGAGACAAAAGGAAGCTAGGTAAATAGGGGCAGGACCACAGGAAGGGAAATGACACTGAAAACCCAGCTGGACGGAGTTACCGGGACAACCCAGCTGGGCAGGAAAGGACAGCACACACAGGAGACAAACCTTAAAATGTATGGATGTTGCTAAGACAGGCAGCTTGCTGATAACCAATCACCAGGTAGTAAGGTGTAAAAACCAATCCCAAGGATGTTGCTAAGACAAAATTCTTTGAAAGGACCAATCAGGAATTAACAAGCATACATAAAAAAAGTGCACGCACTTTCTCTCTCCCACCCTCCCTGTGCTAGATGATTGAGTTAATGGCAGGAGATGCACTCCCCATCGCATGGCTTATGACCATGAGGGCCTCCACACATGGACTATAACACTTTAATTACCTCGGATACTGAACTACTCCGGACTGTAACATGGAAAAGGAAGCTCTGACACTGGCCTGCTCCTGGAATCCCAGTTGTACCTTTTTCAGGACTGGCTTCTCTCAATAAACTTCAGTTCCACTAATCGTTTTTGCCCACGACTTCATTCTTCAATGTCATGAGACAACGAACTTGAACTCAAACACCCACATTTCAGTTTCACACCCATTGTTTGTCAGGGTAATCCAATCTCACAGAAACTCACATAAAATTACCCATCTTAATACTTTTCATCCTAGCATATCATGGGCCGTAGTAAGTGTTCAAAGGATAGCAATGCTCATGAACTGAGGTGGTTTTGTAGGTTTGGCCAAGAGTGGGGGAGACTTGGACCTTAACGAATTATAAGATTCAATAAGGCAGAGGGAAAATAGTAAATAGAGATTAATGTATAACACGAACCTCTATGAATACACATTAGAGACATTTTAGCCCTGTACAACATACGTATATCCAGTGAGTAAAAGTTTCTTCCCCTATTTAAAACAAACAAACACATAATTTATTCTCTGCTGTGAAATACTTGTATGTACACAAACCTGGTAATTGCAGAAATCACATAATGGAAATATGTATCAAACCAGTCATTAATTCGGCTATTAAGTTGGTCAATTCAGTCAACTGCATGCATTTATATAATAGGCAATAAACCCAAAATACTCTGACTCATCAAGCTCATTAAAAAAAGCAAAACATGTTTTATATGTAGGTATTAAAATAAAATACCACCCCAGCCAGTTTTGCTCAGTGGATAGAGTGTCAACCTGTGGACTGAGGGTCCCAGGTTCAATTCTAGTCAAGGGCACATACCCGGGTTGTGGGCTCGATCCCCAATAGAGCGTGTGCAGGAGGCAGCCGGTCAATGATTCTCTCTCATCATTGATGTTTTCATCTCTCTCTACCACTCCCATCCTCTCTGAAATCAATAAAAATATATTTTTAAAAATAAAAAATAAAAAATACCAATATATAAAAAATTACCAATATACCTAATGTAGAAAAGAACACAGTAAGTTAAAAATAAATCATACATGCTCTGCATAAAATATCTTGCAAACTATATCTGTTCTTATGGCCTGGATGAATAAAATAAAAAGCTTTTTCTGTCTCATGGTCATTTTATAAGCCCTTTCTTGGAATCAAGGAGTAGATAAATTATTTACAAACTAATGGGTAAAAAAGTTTTCCTATTCAATGAGAAGTTTATGTTAGGCGAAAATTAGTTGTACAACAAAAGTTTCTTTCTTTAAGAAACTTCAAGGGCACCTTAGATGTAATGACTTCTAAGGACAAATATTTTTATACTTGTCAAAGCTTTTTCACAAATGTTAAACTCCTTTGACCCTCATCAGTCCAATTAAAGTAAGACAGATTATTTCTGTTTCACATTCCTGATAATAAAAAATCTAACACACATATCTAGGAATTAAATTGTTTGGTGAGGCATGGACTGACCAGGCTTTCTAACTTAACTTTCTGTATTTTGTAAGTTTTGCTGGCCTCCGACAGATAGTGCCTTCCAGGACTAGCAAACAGCTAAGGGCTCTGGCATAGAGAGTATCTTTCATATGCAAACCTTGTTATAACTTTTTATGCCCAAATGCCCAAAGGAATTTAGCTATTTGGTCTACTTTACTTAGCTTGCTATGGAGCTACATAAAATAAAACGCGCGCGCGCGCACACACACACACACACACACACACACAAAACACAACAACACCTAACTGTGTGTAGGTGGGTATGGGTTTTTAGAGAACCCTTAGGCATAAATGGATTAAGTACTGTTCAGAGCTCTTTACATTTCCTATCACTTCTAACAAACATTTGCGTTAATGGGACTGCCCAAGAGATGCATTAGTGGAGAAATGTTCTTGGGTGCTGTAAAGCATTAGGCTGTATTCACACACTTTGACAACTTCAGTCCTGTGCCAAGTGTTCTTTAGTGGGTAAAAATACCTGCCCCTGTTTAAGACAAGAAAACACATAAACCATTTTCTAATGTGAAATATTTAGATTTATGTAAACATTGTAATTGATGAAATCTGTCATTAACTGTGCTGTAAAAATAGTTGGTCAATTCTGTCAGCTTCTTGCTTTTACATAATAGGAACCAAACTTGAAATATTCCAACTCTTCTATCTCATGTTGTTTATTTGATTTTTAAATATTTTAATATAATATAAAAATAACTCAGTAAAGTAAAACTCAAATTATACATGTATTAAAAGATAAACTGAGGCAGTCATTGGGGAATCAGATGGCCTTCCTTTTTAGGCAACAGAGGGAGGCGAGGTAGTCAGGAATCAGGACTATGGGTCAGGGGAGGAAATGAAACTGGGGAACCCAGCTAGGTGGAGTTACTAAGGCACCCCAAATTAGTGGAGAAGGAAGGGCACATGCAAGAGTCATGAACTTTAAAATGTATGGATATTGCTAAGACAGGTAGCATGCAGATAACCAATCACAAGATAGTGAGGCGTACAAACCAATCCCAAGGATGTTGCTAAGGCAAAATTCTTCGAAAGGACCA